AGAGAGAGAGAGAGAGAGAGAGAGAGAGAGAGAGAGAGAGAGAGAGAGAGAGAGAGAGAGAGAGAGAGAGAGAGTTTCCATTGGTAGTATGAGCAACACACCGGCCAACAGGTAACTCACGCACTGGAAATTTCTGATATGCCCCTGTAGCACCTCTCCGGGGGGCAGGGGAAAGACTTCTAGTGTAAAAGACGGTGACAGGGGCATGTTGGAAAGATGTGCGTTACCAGTAAGGGCATATAGGGAACTTTTCTGTTGGTTCTCAACGGCCAGCCAGTAGGGGCGTGCTGGAACTTTGGGACGGGTACCGGTAGGGGCATATGGAACATGATTCAGGCCGAAACGACCCCAGGAGCTTTCTGGAAAGTTAACATCATTCGTTGTCAGAGGGCTACAAGGTAAGTTGGCCGTCAGAGGGGCATGCTGGAAATTAATCAAAACGTCAGGGGCATTTCGAAAATTTTCCCAATCAAAACTGCATTTGTAGGCGCCTCTTGAGGGCATACTCACACCGCGAACCCAAAGCCGCAAAACATGCGGATTTGGGAAGTGCGGAGTTGAGGTTTTGGGTATGGTTCACGTCACACTGCTGTACCTTTTCAGATGGGATTTGGTACCATCAACCAATTGTGCAAGAACTTTTGTGAACGAATTTTTGCCAATTTTTGAAGAAAATGCAAAAAAAAAAAGGGAATTTGCGGTCACCTCCAGAGGTGACCGCAAAATCCCTTGCCCCGCGGCTTCCCAGGCCGCTGACAAATGGGCACTGGAATAGCACATTTGCGAATTTGGCAGATCTGTGTGACCGGCCTTTTCCCCTTTTTGGGGGGATTTGGGGATTATAGGTCCCCGTGTGAGTATGCCCTGTTTCCCCAAAATCCCCGTGTGACCGGCCTTTTCCCCTTTTGGGGGGGATTTTGGACGCAAATTGCGCACCCCCGCGACCAGGCAGGCTGGAGATGTTGCACACCGATTTGAATCATTTGCTACAAGGCCCTCACCGTGTGACCCCGCTCTGTAGCAGAATCTGTGATTTTTGTGATATTTGTGTCCAGTGTGAGTATGGCCTAGGCAAAACGCTGTAGCAGCACATCACCATATGTTTGGGCTTGCAAATTGTTGCATAGGGCCTCTAGGGCCTCGTTTCACCACTCCAGGGCCGAGGTCCCACTAGTAGCAAAAAGGATAGGATCGAGATCCTGAATCTGGATGTGTTTTATGCAACGATGTAGAAAAGCAGTTCAATCTCCATCCAGTAGGGCCTCGTTCCACCACTCAAGGACTCTGGAATTTTGCAGCCTTCAAACAAAGAAGAATGAAAAAAAGATCGCTTGCATGCATCTTGGCAAGGAATGCGGCAAGATACGTTCACAATGTTTACAGTTGGCGAGGAGGTGAACGAGGGCTCTTTTGGGGCGCAAAAGAGAGAAAAGAATAGGAAAGCGTTGGCATTCGACTTCCTGCACTTCCAGCGCAGCTGTGGCCATATGGGCCTCGCTCCACTACTCTCGAAATGTGCCAAACGAGAGTGAATCTTCCTCTAGAACATGGAAGATACACCGTAATGATTTTTTTGTCTTTTGTGCATGTCGAGAGTGGTGGAGCGAGGCCCTATGGTCCGAGTTTTCACGAGGGAAGAGGAAAGAACGGAAAGACGCAAAACCCCTCTAAGCCCTCATCTACCTTCCTAAGATAGCAACGGCACCACACGACAAAACGGCAACCAGTTGCTGTCGCACCATATCAACATCACGCGAAAACGACAAGGTGAAGAGAACGGCGTTGGGGGCCCCGCGCAGCAGATATCGACATTCAGGGCCGGAATGTCGACACGGACAGGGATACGGCGACTCGTACACGTGTCCCAAGAGGGGAAAACGGAAAAAAAGCAACAATACAAACTCTCGGCAAACGAATATCTTGGCCGAGCGCAGCGAAATGCGATACTGAGGGCAAGCTCACACTAGGTACCCAAATTCCCAAAAAAATGGGAAAATGGGAACGGCCGTTTTGAGGAAATGTGGCCCTGGACGGTCACACTGTGTTCCCAATACGCTAACGACAAGGTCGCGACATCGCTCTCTGCGAGGTGCTTGTGGAGGGCGCCGGTCACACGGTGGTACCTCAAATGGGAAATGCAATTGTTCAGTTTTTATAATCTGTTTTTTCCTTYTTTTTTTTTTCGGTCGTTACTGCTGGCAACGGGTGTCCATACGAGCCTCTCTGCTCGTGCTCCGCGCGTCTGACCGCTCCGTGCGTGCACCCATTTCCCCAAATTTCCTTTTCTTCAATTGATAGGGCGCTAATATCGTGGGGTTCCATTTTTTCTCCAATTTTTCATGGTAATTCGGAAAAAGATTTGAGAAATTGCGGTAACCTCCGGAGGTCACCGCAAATTTCCTTCCCCCGCGGCTTCGCAGGCCGCTGACAAATGGTCACCCCTTTTGAGAATTTGGGCAGATGTTCACCATGTGTGACTGTCCGGGAACCCTTTTTTGGGGGGAAAATGGGGATTTGGTACCTAGTGTGAGCGTGCCCTGAATGTGAATTGCAGAAATCCGTGAGCCATCGATACCTTGAACGCACGTGGCGGCCGAGGCTTCTGCCGAGGGCACGCCCGCCTGAGCATCATAAGAAAAAAAAAAAAAAAAAAAAAAAGGGCAATAATACAGCGTTTCCTGCACTTTTTTTTTTTTGTTGTTGTTTTTCAATTACCTGTCGAATCTGGACAGGACCGCTGGCCGGTATCACCCGCCTGCTGGTGGGTGCAGTAATACTACAATGACAACAAAAAAGGCCTGAAAGGCCGTCCTGTCCAGGTTCGACAGGTAATTATGAATTGGTTGGGCTGGCGGTGCCCAACTCTTGAATTTCGAGATTCGAGAGTGGTGTGGCGAAAAAACAAAGAAAAAAAGCACAGGGAACGGTGTATTATATTGCTTTTGTCCGTTTTCCCTCTTAGGACACGTGTACGAGTCTACCTATCCCTGTTGGTGTCGACCTTCCGGTCTGCTGCGCGGGAATTGTCGCACTATTTTTTTTCAGGAAAAGGTAGAGGATCCTTTATTCAAAGCATGCCGAGCAAAACTCTGAGGCCGGGAATCCTCAACAAACAACCCGGTAAGTAACCAGGGCCCCCGAGGGGACCAGCTTCTTTTTTTTTTTTTTTTTTTTTTTTTCGAAAGGCTGAGATTTCCATTATCAAAGTACAGAACTTTGAGGCCGGGAATCCTCAACAAACAACCCGGGATGAACAGCACCAGGCTCGTTGCCCAGCTTAGTTTTCCAGTCAGTGAGCAGCTGAGGCTACGCTAGCTGTACTGATTTAACATTTGTCGAGCTCCCTGCTCTTAAAAAGGACCCCCTCCCCTAAATCACCCCACCCGCCAACTAAGAGAGGAAAGTAAAACAAAAGAGAAAAGGAATAAACAAGGAAAAACTCAACCGGTGGAACAGGTCTAAGGCGACCTTGGTCTTCCTTCCACACTGCGACACTCCTGCCTCTGCAACAAAAACAAAACAACATCCCAAACTAACCCTCTACCAGATTTACGACCCAACAAAATAACACCACCTAGGCTGCCTGCCTCCTGCGACAAAGTGTAACCGAGTGTCCTGGTTATTGAAACCGATAGGGTAGGCGTAAGACCAGCAATGAACCAAAGTGCCCGCCGCTGCTCGCGGAGGCGGAAAGCGCACCAAGGAAAATTCCCGCGCGTGGGACCTCGCTCTACTCTTGAGATGTGCGAAACGAGAGTGAGGCGAAGAAATCTATGGGCGATGTACATGGCTACAAGGCACCTCCTCAGCAAATGGAAGATTGGTGAGACACATCCTTCTACTATGGAAGGAATACTCAGCTCTCAATAATGTGTATGGAGGGGGGGGGGTGAACCCCTTAAATGTATGATGCCCACTTTTCCTATTTATTTGATGCCTCAATAGCTGGCTGGGTATTAGTGTTGATAGATTCAGAGGTAATATGTGAGGGGCTGAGGTAGTTCGCGGTTGATTTGCCTGCTCACTTATTAACAAATATGCATGATATAACGTGTTGTGCTTTTCTTTATTTAGTGTTGACGTCTCGGTGTTGGGAAGGAAAAGGGACGAGATAGAGAAATGGGGGACTCAAGTGCCCCCTCCTCCTCGAATCCTCCTTCCCCTCCCCCTCCCCCTCCACCGGTCAACCCTGAGGTCCCTCTGTCGGAGTCCGATAAGCAACGAATTCGGGGAATCCTCAAAACCTGTTACTCTGACGGTATCCTCCCCAAACGCTTATCGCGAAATACTGTTGAAGTGGGGGAAGATCACGTCAGAGTAATTGTTAACCCGGAGGTATATAACCTCCAGGTGGAATGGCTCAAAGAACATGCGGTCACTATTTTATTTGGAGATGAGTCAACTTCGCTCCCAGTGAATGCTAAGAAACGGCTGGTACGGGTTTATGAGGATGGATGGGCTACCAATCGTTCGATTGATGCCCCTCCAAAACGAGGCTTATTCCATAATGAATGCCGTAATCTGGTAACCTACGTCTCTTCTTCCAACCAAATTGCGACATACATGCTAAGGAAGAAACAAGAGAAAATAGTGCTTGACGGCAAAACCTATTCGATTACGTTTCGACCTTGGATGTCGGACTATGAGTTGTATGAGTGGAGGGAGGCCATGCGCTTCCAGTTTTTCTGGATCAGGTGTTTACAAGTCCCAATTTCTGCCCTCCCTCAACTAGAGACAGCGGTGGAAGATGCTTTTGGTTCGGTTCTGAAGTTTCACCAGGCATTCAAGGAACCAGGTAGGCCGGAACTGATGAATATTCGGTTTGACTTGGTTTCGTCAGCACGAATAAGGTATAAACCAAGCCTGGTGCTTGAATATCAGAACGATGATTATGCAGAAATCGAGGTAATCTGTGCCGATACCCCGTGGTGTGAAGATTGCAGAAGATATTTTCACAATTCAAAGGACTGCCCTGCAAAATGCCAAACTGACCTACCAACGGTCAATGAAAAATCTGAGAAGAGGAAAGCTTCAGAAGGGCAGGATAAGGGCAGGAAACCACAAGGGGATCTGAGGCAGAAGGAGAAAGAGAAGGGGAGGGTTCTGGACAGGGAAGTCAGAAACAAACCACCACACCCAAATCCTTCTCATGAACAGGAGAGGGGAAGGGTTACAGTGGTTTGGAAGAAGAAGAACCCCAACCCTGTTGCAGGAAGCGATGGACCCCATAATGGGCTGAACTCCGAAGGAAAGGATAAGGACAAGGGTGCGGAACACACTGAGAAAGCAGAATTGGAGAAACGGGAGAAGGCACCCCTAGGAGATCACCCACAGGAAAAGGGGGATAAAGACGTAGAAATGATTAGTGACGATGAGAATGGCAATGGAAGGAAGGAAGGGGGGACAGAAGAACAAACGGAGGATGAGAAAGGAAACGAAGACGTTGAGGGAAGGGAAGATCTAGTGGAAGAAGATGGGAAGAGTAAGAAACAGGAAGAGGAAGACATGGAAGTTGAGGATGAGGAGGACGAAGAATCGGAGGAAGAAGAGGAAGAAGAAGAGGAAGAAGAGGAGGAAGAAGAGGAGGAGGAAGAGGAAGAAGAGGAAGAAGAAGAGCTATCTGAGGACGAAGAAGACGAAGAGAAAGGAGACGGAAGTGGAGAGGAAGAAAACAGGGAGGAAAGGGAAGTAGAGAAGGAGGATGAAAAGGATGGAGAAGAAGTAGGGGAGGAGGGTGGGGAGGAAAAGGGTACTCGGGACGATGAAGGGGAGGAAGGAGTGGAAACTGGTAATGATTCAGAGAAGGGGGTGAGGAAGGAAAAAAGGAAGAAGAGGGGGAGGAGGCACACGTAAGGAAGACAGGGGGGAGTTCGGAGAAGGGAAAAACCGGAAGAGAAGCGATAGGGGAGGAAGTTCAAAAAGATCACGAGAAGGAACTCAGAGCGGATGAGGCTGGGCTTGTGGAGGAAAGATTGGAAGAAAACTCCCACGAGCCCAAAGCTCCAGCCCCAGGGAAATTTCATGTTCTATAACAACAACGCCTTTATTCTGGAAGAAAGAGACCAACAAGATAGACCCAGACTGGAAATGGATAAAGATGCTCAGGGAGATTCATGGAAACTAGCTGACATCTTTCCCTTCCAGAAAGTGGGCAACCAACAACTCCTGGATGATCTAGGATTGATCCAGGGGAATGACTTCTCTCCAGCAAAAAAAACGAAACGAAATGATGCTACAGCTGGCAGAGCGATGGGAGAAGAGACAAGTAGCCCTCCAAGGGAATCGCGATTCGAAAAGGATAAAGAAGGGCGAAAGAGACTGAGGCCTGCAACTCAAGCAAAAAGTGAATTATCTTTAGCAGGTCCAATGAGAACGATCTCAAAAGCAGAAAAAACAAAGGGGCTAATCAAACAATTCCTAATCCCACTGATTTTTTCTGAATCAGCAGTTGGCCCGGTGCTATTGACAAGGATTACACCTGAGGATGGACTGGATATTCCAGCTATCCCAGTAACTGCCCCCCCCTCAGATGAGGAGGCAGTGGAGTTAACCAAGAGGCATGTGTTGAACCATACAGGCTCGGTTGCGGTGCTTCCGTCTTTCAAAATGAACAGATATTTTTCACAGAAGCACCCACTACTCCCGGTGGTTTTCCATATGGCCCCCATGGGTATCCGTACCATCTGCGACTCTTTTGAAAAGTGGTGCGAACTCAGGGTTCATTGGAACCCTCTCCGTGACTTTCTTACCGGTAATACAGACTCAATAGAAAAACTCCAAATGCCGGTTGAAAGATCAGGTGTAGTCCTATGGGATTGGCTGCGATACACGAATGGGATAGAAAAACTCTCAGGGGTTTGTCTAATCCAAAATCTCAAGATGGTTAGCCACCTAGGAAAAGACACAGCGGAAACAAAAAAATCCCTGGTGCAATTCCAAGTCCCGAGCCGGATCCAAACTACCGGCAGGATCTCTTCTGATGGTACTACCGCCTAAACTGCGGTTGGCATCATGGAATGTCCGCGGTTTAGGCGGTACATCACATAGACGTAAACGATCAAGACTTCGGTCCTGGATGCACTCAACTAATGTACACATCTTGGGTATCCAGGAAACCAAGCTAAATAACGGTAAACTTCAGAAGCTGGGGTCCTATTGGGATGACCCCCAAGTCTGGTCCCCTGCGGAGGGGACCAGAGGAGGGGTGACAATCCTAATTAATAAGGACCTAGAGGCGGAAATTATCGATTCATATGCAGATTCTGGAGGAAGAATAGCGTGGATTAAATTGCTGACAAGAGAGGAAGAATGGGGAATTGCTTCAGTATATGCCCCCGCAGAATCAATAGACAAAGCTGATTTCCTAGCCAATCTACCGGCTTTCCTCCCCGACACAGAGAACCTGGTGATATTAGGAGACCTCAACACAATACTTATTCCAGGTTTAGACTCAATGTCAGTTTTCCCGCCTAGGCAAGATGCAGAACTTTTAACCACCCTGCTGGATGCCTACTCTCTAACAGATGTTTTTCGCACCTTAAACCCGAACTTAAATGGGTTTTCATGGTTTGGACCTAAACCAACAGATAACACACCAGCCCCAAGAAGTAGGCTTGATTTTATTCTAGCGAGGGGCTCGCCGTGGAATACCTGCTCCTGGTGTGATGTGCTGATAGGCTCGGAATCTCTCTCAGACCATCATCCAGTACTAATGGACGTTGTCTCTGCAGAAGTGATACAGAGGGAGAGACCGCCATTTAGACTGAATGTTAATATGCGGAAAGATGAGGGAATAAAGCAATGGGTGACGGACCAAATGATACTATGGAATACTATGAAGGATCTGTTTGAAAACCTGTTGGAATGGGCAGAAGTAGGAATTAACATCATTAAAGTTGCTTTGACTAATTTCTCTAGGATGAAATCGGCAAATAGGACGTGGCATGAAGTACGACTTCAAAAGGAAATAGAGCAGGCAGAAAGGCTGATGGGGTCTGATCCGTTCTCAGACTACTATTGGACTGAAAAAAGGAAAGCAGCCTTGCTAGAGTTAGAAGAGCTAGAAGTTAAAAAACAGACGGAATGGATGGACTGGCTGAAAATTCGAGGAATTATAGGGTATGATCGAATGACCAAGCTGTCATTCAGATCACTAATCCTGCGACAAGCCAAACCGCTGATCAGGGAACTTCGCCACCCATTTACAATAGGGCAGACTCCAGTTTCAGATATGGACACAATGTGCTCAAACGCCTACGAGTACTTCAAGGACATAGTTTCCACCAGACGACCTTTCGATACTCTGGACACCGATCTATCAGATGTTAGCACCTTTTGGGACAGGACTGTAATCCAGGTCCCGCGTGCTGCGGCCCTGGCATTGGACGAGCCATTTACAGTTGAAGAATTGGGCAAAGAGGTAAAGCAAATGGCTTTGGGTAAGTGTCCAGGCCTCGATGGACTTCCGGTGGAACTCTATTTGGCCTGTTGGCCTGCCTTTGGGCCTTTCCTGTGTGACATATTCAATCATGTGAGACTGACTGGTAGACTGCCGGAGAACTTTTTGAAGGGTGTTATATCACTTATACATAAAAAAGGGGACAAGGCTGAGGTAAAGAACTATAGGCCAATATCGGTGTTAAATGTAACATATAAAATATTGGCCAAGACATACGCAAGTAGACTTGCAGAGATACCCCCCCTCTTTAATTGGACAAGAACAGGGGGCTTTTGTGAAGGGAAGGTCAATATTTGAAAACATAATGACCACCCTTCAGGCCCTTTAAATCATATCTAAAGAGAGGAGGGATGTGGCAGTCCTCCTTCTCGACATGGAAAAGGCGTACGATAAGGTGGGTTAGACTTTTGTCGTGACCACCTTATCGAAAATGGGCTTTGGCCCTGAATTTCTCAACAACGTCAAAGCAATGTATTCACAGGCGAGATCAGCGGTAATCATTAACGGTCGCTTGTCAGAAGATTTTCAGCGGACTCGATCTCTACGTCAGGGCTGCCCCCTGGCCCCATTATTATTTGTATTTCAATTAGAAACCCTACTCAATAACATTCGCCACAACCCGAAAATCAATGGATTAAAAATTGCCCCATCCATTCATTGGAAGGGGGGAGCGCTTGCCGATGACCTAACAATTGCTTGTAAAAATTCAGTTGTGGCCTTTACAGAGCTTAAGGCCGTATTAGATGAGTACAGCCAGCTATCAGAGGCATCAATTAACTGGGATAAGTCCACATACTTTTTACCCCCCCCGTTTGAGATCTGTGTTCAATGGGGTCTGAAACAGGTATCGGAAGGAGCTTCAGAACGATTCCTGGGAGTACAAGTGTCACTGACAGACTGCTCTGCAGAACAAGACAGACTACTCCAGGAGAAGGTATGTGCCAGGATCATGGGGTGGATCAGGAACCACAAGCTCTCACTCTTTGGGAGGGCGTTGGTGTTATCAGCGGCTGCTTTCTCTCTCCTGTGGTTCCCTTTGACAGTACACTGGTTGGGTGATGGGGCCTATACAGCAATAAAGAACGTGGCATCAAGATATACATGGAAACCTGCGGCCACGGAAGACCAAGGTTTTATAGTGAGAGTGGCATGAGACACTATCACCTTCCCCAGAACTAAAGGGGGACTGAGAATTTTAGACCCAAGAGACCAAAATATTGCCTTATTGGGGAAATGGGTGATCAAGGCACTGATGGAGAATAATGAACAGAAGATTTAGATCAAGATGGCAGAGTACATTTTTAAGAGGGACTGAGAACTTAGTGAAGGAGAGCAGGTTTGGACATGCCTGGTGCAAACGGACATGGGGGGGAGAAGAAGAGTTAAATCTAAAGTTTAGACTGCGATTCTCAGGGCATGGAAGACGATTAGACCGATACCGCTGAAGGATCCCTCCTCTAAGCTGGAGGTAGCTAACCAAGCTCTTTTTGATAACAAATTAATTAAGTCTGTGGCATGCACCCCCTTTTATACAAGTGAAAAGGGAGGGAGCTTTGCCAAGTCCTGGATAGAAAAGGAAATTGTATATGTTAAACATCTATGGGATAATGACAATCAATCCTGGATTACTTATGAAGATATCAGAAAGAGACTTCCTCGACTACGGGCAGTTCAGGAGAATTTGAACGCAATATTGGAGGCTATCCCCAGACAGTGGAAGGGCTTACTGAAACAGGACTCATAACAGGGGCAAGGTACTTGGCTTGTGGACCCTACAGCCCCAAGAGTGGAGGAGGTACTGAGGGTGTTAGGTCCTGACATCCAACAAGGAATGAGGGTTGAATCTTGGGGGGTAGGACGTGAAGGTATAAAAGGGAGAGAAATATCTTTTGTGAAAGAGAAGACTATATCAACGACAAGGCAACTTACAGAAGTAAGAGACTGGGTAAACGGGAGCAAGGACAAACACTGAGGCATCTTATTGAGGGGAGAAGCTGAGTCCTTTAAAGTTGATCCAACCTTCTATGGATGGAAATCCAGAGAGGGAAAACAACCCCCCATGCTTTTCTATGGGACCAGGACGGGGGCAGAAGTACGCCGCCTGAAGAGAGAGAGACTAGAGGACGTGGCGATACGCAGACTTCATAAGCTTCAAGGGACAACAGAGAGAGTTCCGGACTTTCCTCAACTTTGGAAAACTTTGATGAAAATCCCTTCCCAAAAGCAGGCTAGCCTGATGTGGACTAAATCCATGCAAGTAACGACCTCGGCACTTCGGTTACATACCAGAGTCATGGAATTGAGTATCACCTGCAGGCGTTGCAATTGGGGATGGGAATCGACGGAACACCTATGGTTATATTGCCCCCTGGCTGACGAGCTCTGGATGTGGTGGCAATCAATTTGGAATGAACAAGTGGGTTCTGCATGGGAATGGTCAGATAACTGGATTTTGTTTGGAATCCTGCCTGAGAAGGTAAAGATGTATGAAGGTTGGGGTTATGCGGCGCTGATTTGTAGAGGGATGCTGATGGAGGTGCTGTGGAAGGCCCGAAATGCCCAAGTATTTAGAGATGAAAAGACTGCTATTCAACAACAGAGGACAATGGTGAAATCATTGCTCAGACTGACTATTCTAGCTGAGTGGAGGCA